CGGCATCAATAAACACGGAATCCGAATCTCTGGCAGAGTCGCTAAATAAAAAGTCGGTCTTCCTGAGAGGCTGAATCGAACTGGTATCCTTCACGAAAGGCGCATCTGTAATCAACTGGCGAAGAGCTCGATGTCCACCTTCCTTCACCACTTGGGCAACCTCTGTCGACGTGCCCGAAGCAAACCGAGGAGTGACTGGGATAGGGGAAGGAAGTCGAATAATACTCGCCACGACGCCCGTACACTGCGTGAGATGAGAACGCTCCAGAAGGATATTCCACTGGAAGCAAACATTTAAACATTTGTTAGTCTCAATTATAAAAGGAAGTTGAACTCATCCTACGAATGGGTAAGATAGAGTCACTGCCTTATAAAGGGTGAGACGATTTGGCCACATTATGCACTTATAAGATAGGGTATATCGACAATATATCCCTGCCTTATAAGGCACAATGCAGCGTCAAAACACCCCCTTTATATTGAGATATGGTTTTGACCAAGCAAAACATATCTTTAAAGCGTCGATCCTCGTCAAGGAGAATCAAGGCTCTTCCCGATTGCCTCACCAAGGAGAACAATGGGGATAAAAAGGACCAATTTGCAAATTTCCAAAAAAAAATAGACTAATTTGTAAATTTCCAAAAAAAATAGCTCACCGGCATAAGAGGGAGGCGCGCCATCAGCCGACGTGGTAGAGGATTGACCCCTTGCAATACGAGACATGGTGACCTGCAAAATAAATTAAGGGATCAGATCCAGAAAAAAGTTCCTCTTTTTATTACCATAAATCCCTCAGAGCTTCAAATTTTACCCCCTGAAAGAGGAGCTTGAGGCGCCAAATCATAATCCTAACCCTCACATGCGATCCCACAAATTCATAAATTGAATATGCTAAAATTGTGGAGGATTTACCTGAGGAAAAGCTTGAAGATCCGACAAAGATCCAATCTTGAAAGAGGCTCAGACAACTTGCTCGAGGGGCCTGAGAGAAATTTTTATATGAAGATTTTTGAGAGATTTTTCAGTCTAAGATCCAAAGGAAGACTAGATCTAAGACAATTGTGAAGATTTGAGGGAGAAAGAATGCTCGAGGGAAAAGAAAATCAAAGAAAAGGTCAAGGGGGGGGGGCGGCCCTAGAGAGGAGGAAAAGAAAGAAAAAAAGAACCCTTTTTATAATGTTGAACCAAGCCAAGTTGAACCGGACCAGACCTGGTTTGAACCAAAATTCAAATTAAAGCTGAATCAAGCATCGAAACAACTTCAAATCGACCGAGGGTTCAGTCCTTGGTTTATTTCACTCCATCTGTCCCGCACTAGTGTTCGGAAGGGTCAGGAGGATATTTTTGAGCCTAATTACTGCCTTTTTTTGGCTCATTATCAAGCCGGTTCAGCTCATTCGCAACAGAAATATACTCCAATAAGGTATATGGTATAAACTGTTCCCTATTTTGGTTGAGAAGTTCCTGAGAATATTTTTCTAAATATTCTTAAGGATAACTCAACACACTACGCCGACAACGCGTCGCAAATAAAGACTCAACGTCACATTCGAGAGTCAGTTCTATGTTGAACCAACAAACATGAGCTAGAAGATCATAAAATCAGAATCGACTTCAATTTGAAATTCCGACAACGGCTCAGACAATAAATGCAGCACCGAAAACCGTTACAGACATTCGACAAAGCACCGAATAGCCGAAGGATTGAAGAATCAAGAATAGAAGCGCACTTCCAGAATCCGAAGATGGCCGGACAAGTCAGACATATCCAAATATCAGACCTTCTATAAAAGAACGAGGCTGAAATACTTTGGAGGGGGTATCTGTAGGCGTATAAAATTGCTTATAGATCCCTTAGCACAGCTCAGCACAAACCGACGAACCAACGAGGCGACGAGGTTAACGAATCGCACGCAAACAACGGAATAGATCCACTCGCGTGCGGAATCAAGCTAATGGGTTGAAGAGTCAACGAGTCATCCATCCAAGGGCGGACTCGGACGAATCACGATCGAATCAAGATCAGTTTTGGACTCGAACTCAGAATCGGATTTACTGCCAAATCAGGTCAACGATTCAAGTCCGGATAAATCAAACCACAGAACCAGATCACGGACTGAACCGAAAACGAAAAACCACGCCTAAGGGGGCTCGGCCCAGAGCCGGCCACCTATAGGTGGACGGCCCAGATCTGTGCGCGGGCACAGTTCAGAGAGCCTATAAATAGGCCCCCCTTGGTTCATTTGTAAAAGGGTTGGAACTTTGAGAGCCGAAACTCTGCCGAATTGAGAATTGAGCTTGGAGTTTTGAAGACTTGAGGACTTGAACATTCAGATCTGGTTCTCGGCGAGCATCCACGTCACGAAAGGCAGGAGTTCGAGAGAGAGAGAGATCAGATCTGAGATCTACACGAGATCATACTCCGGATCAAAGCTTGGCCTTTGATCCCGAGAACTAAGGGCGATTATTTCCTTGGTGAATTAATCCCCCCTCCCCCCCCGGCTATTATTTCCTTCGCGAAATAATACCCGTCAAATCGTGTAGATCCGACCGTATCTAGATCGCGCGGTGGTCCACGGATTAACCCCGGCGTTGGCAAAGAACCCACACAAGCGAGCGTTCGCAAAACAGGAGCTCGTGATTCGTTCGAAAGGAAAGTTGTAATCTTTTTCTTTTTCTTTGATTTCGTTGTAACCGGATCTAAAAAAGACCGGATCTTTTGTAACCAAAAAGCAATTACTTGAGATAACAATGAATTCAATGAAGACGATTTTTCCTGCGAACACCTATAGGTCTCCGCACACGGCTCGAGATAGAGAAAAAATGATGAACGTCACTATTTGAATCACAGAAGGTCATTTGACATCGACCAGCACATGGAGTGAGTCGACAAACTATGTGAAGCAACGGAACAACAGAATAACGGAAACACGAGTTGATCGGGAGCCCCGTTTCGCTTACGAAAGGCGAAGCGCCCCTCTATCCTATTTTATTCCACATGTGATTCAACCATGGGAGCTTATAGGTCTACTCATTAGCTTTCCAACGCATCTTGAATCACGTGATTTCGAGTTCGGGTGACGAAAATACAAGGGAAACGGACAGAACGGACAAAACTATCCAAGCCAAACCTTATCGAGACACCAAGAGGTGTCTCGGCCAAGACTTGGCCGAGATACCCATAGGTGTCTCGGCCAAGCTTTGGTCAAGACACCAAGGAGTGTCTCGGCCCAAGCATGGCCGAGATACCCACAAGTATCTGTAGACTCGAAAATCTGGTTTTGCGCAGTTTGAAGCTGTTTTTCGATCCCTAACCGCCTGAATTCATTCTAACTGATCCTAATCTATCTAAAAACATGGTTAAATGTTTGTAACTGAGGATAAGAGGGAATCGATCCTTCTTATCTGAAAACAGGGGTCCTGAAGCCTATAAATACAGTCCCAGGGCCTTTATTTTTCGAGATCTGGAATTCTCAAGCGTTAGCGAAGCCTTGCTGGACTAAGGACTAATGGTGCACGAATTTCAGAAGAGAGGAGGAGATTGATCAAGTTCTTCAGTGCAGGAAAGAAGAGTTCGTCAGATCTGCAGTTCCCGTGTTCGTTCCTTAAGATTACCCTGTTGCGATGATCTTAAGAAGAGCAATTATCTCGCTGTTGCCGAGATAAGCGCTTCGGCTTCCTGATTCCTTCCGAATTGACAAAGTTTCGGATTTGATCTGATCGTCAGGTGGTCCATGGATATTGATGTCCCCGTCACCAGCCAAAAACTCACGCGAGCAAGAGACGATAAACGGATCTTGTGTTATTTTCGAGAGAGTTGTAATTCTTTTACTTTTATTACTTGAATTCTTTGTAAATGACTAAAGTTATAATGAAATCAGTAATGATGGCAACTTTCGAAGGAAACAAGCACGAACAATCAATTTTAACGTGATTCGGCAAATTGTCTACATCCACGGAGCAAGTAGGGGGGCGGATCTACTATTAGATAAAGAGAATACAAATGGGTTTACAATCATACAAATTAAACCCTCAAACTAACTCTCCAATCTCTCACAAATATCTCCCTCAAAAGGATGCTCAAACCCTCTCAAAATCAGCACAAAAGCTACACAAAACTCCTCTCTCAAAGTCGGCTGTCTTTTCAACTGCGTTCTCCCCTCTTTGCACGCTGCCCAACCTTACACTAAACCCTAGTCACAAAGCATGTTCCTATTTATAGCTGAGAGCAAATTATCAGTGTGGCCCCCAACAAAAAAAACACGTGAACAACACGTATGTGGCCCCCACGCAACAAAAACCGCGTGAACAAATTTGCCCCCAACGAAAACTGCGTGAAGGGATAGGTGTGGCCCCCACAAGACTTCCGTGTTCACAGGCATAATATGCAGTGAAAAGAACAAAGGGTTAAATTCATAAAACCTTGGACATAATCCCTGTGAACTTTTTTTTATCTCATATAATCGTCCTCTATTTAGGGACGGTTTCTTGCCGAAACCCCCAATAGTCATTATCAAATAACTAACATGTAAGAGAGAATGTCCTAAATT